TAGCCAGAAACTGCCCAGCTCCCAGGCCCTGCCCCCCAGCCAGGTGGCCGTCTCCGCCTCCCTCCCTTTGTCTCTCCCTCTGGGAAGAGCCTTGTTATCTGGACTCGGTGTCTGGGCCAATCCACATGTGGGTGAGTCAGTGGGAATCACATCACAGCCCGCCGGGTCACAGAGCAGACAGCCCCCCCACGTCACACCCCCACCTGAGGAATGGCAAGACCTGGAGGGGTTTCCACCGCCAAGCAACGTTCAGCCCAGCAAGGCGACTCCCACAAGAGGCAGGTGCTATGGCACGGCTCCTGCTGCTCTCGGGCCTGGCTCCGGCTGAGGAGCGGGCGTGCAGCGCAGAGACGCCACCCCGTGTGTCACATCAGTCTAGACGGCAGTGGCTAAGGGCCCCACCCAGCCACGTGGCCGAGCGTCTGTCTGCTCCCCAGTGGCAACTAGCGGGCTGGGTGGGGCGAGCCGCGGAAGATGGGAAGCTGGTCTAGGGAGGAGCAGGCAGAGGAGCCGTCTGAGTGAGCCGGGCACAGCAGCAGGCCGAGAGGAGCTGGCTAGCGGCAGCCCATGCATGTGCCCTGCCGCTGGGGCAGCCACGCAAGGACACGTCAGGCACGTTCCCTGCAGGCCGCTGCCCTACCCAGAGCAGCACCGGGCTCCTTTTCGCACAAAGAGCAGTTAACGGCCTCCTCTGCTCCATTAGCTAACGAGCTCTGAGCCGGCAGCCTGGCTGCATTCTCCTCTCGTCCTCGCCAAGCCGCCCGCACAGGTCACGCGGGACTCTGGGTTCGGGCTTTTGGGGCCTACAGCCGGGGCACCCCTTTCCAGGCACTGGGGTGTGCGTAGACCTGCCCCGGGGGGAGCTGTGGTGGGGCCCGGCAGAAGGGAGAGGAGACGAGAGCTGGCCCGGTGAGATCTTGCATTTGCCCCGGGTTGCTGAGGCTGCGGGGGCAGGACGGCAGGGTGCTGGGCTGCGAGCGGCCGGTGCTCTGGTGAGATGCAACACGGCATTAAAAATCAGGGGGGACCCAGCTCTGCACCCCCCCCCAGCACACCCACATGCCACCCCCCCAGGTGTGCACATACATTCATGTCTTCAGCGTCCCCCGGAGCTGGGCCGGGTAGAGGTCCCTGCGGCCTGAGCGCCAGTTACTAAGTAGATGGAAACTGTCAGTCCGTCTCCCCCCACCCCGCTCTGCTGGGCACCGCCGCCAGCTGGGGAAGCAGAGGCCCGGGTGGAAAGGCTAATGAACGAGCCAGGCACGTTTCTGAAGGGAAATAAGCCTTGAATTGAGCTTGGCTGGAGCCGCAGTTTTCCCCTCAAGATTGATGGGGAAACTGAGGCCCAGGTTAGGGTTTGCCAACTGCTCTAGCCCGAGCGGGCTGGTCATGGTGTGACATGGGGGCTAAGAGTCACCTAGTTCTGTCAGCCTCCCCGTACCTTGCCGCCCACCCCAGGGCTTCCCAGCCCCTCTGCATAGGCGCGGCAGCCTAGCGTGGGGTGTCCCCCTGTCGATAGCTCCTCCTGGGCCCGTTCCCCAGAGGCGCTGCTGGGTCTGCTCCGGTAGCTTCCAGCCAGAGCAGAGGAGGCGCCAGACTGCTCCGGATCGGGCCCCCTCAGCCTTGATTACACGCGGGAAGCCTGGAGACGAGGGATAAAAATCCCAGCCCCTCTGCATAGGCGCGGCAGCCTAGCGTGGGGTGTCCCCCTGTCGATAGCTCCTCCTGGGCCCGTTCCCCAGAGGCGCTGCTGGGTCTGCTCCGGTAGCTTCCAGCCAGAGCAGAGGAGGCGCCAGACTGCTCCGGATCGGGCCCCCTCAGCCTTGATTACACGCGGGAAGCCTGGAGACGAGGGATAAAAATGCCTTCCCCAATCGATCCCGGCTGCTGCTCTCAGGCTCCGGCTCCCGGCAGTGATTGGCAGGCCCCCGCGCTC